GGGACACAGCAAAAACTCTCAACTTTTAAAATTTATTTTAAAAATATCAGTTAAAGAAGAAAACAGTTCAAAAAGTGCTTTTTAACCAGTTTATTTTAATTAAAAAAAAATGGAAATATATATTAATTTCCAAGCTTTAGATGTAGAGCTAAAACTCTTGCTTTTGAGTCTAGTTCTACAGGCAACAGAGACTTTTTTTTTTTTTTTTTTTTGGCAAAAAACAATTCTTAATGATCATCTAAAGCTTCGAGGTTTTGGTTACTATAGAATGAGGCAAGAACTTAAGACCCATGAAAGCTATCTTTGTGCAGGATCCTTCTACTCCAAAAAAAACACAAAAAAACAAACAAAAAAAAACCCCACACTATTTATAGTCGTCTTGCTTACAGCTAATTTGGCAGTGATTTTCATTTTTTGCTATTGTTCTATAGTCACACTAACTCCTTTAAAATATTTCATTCGTTTTTAGAATATTTCATTATACTACATAATTATAATGACAAACGGCAGTACCATAAATAAATTTGGCATAAAAACAGCTGGCTCAGGAGGAATGCATAGCACAACTGTTGGGAAATTCAACCTTGTAAGATGAGATACCAGGAGAGAAGCCCCAGTGGTGAGTGCCCGTCCCACCAGGTGCCTCAGGCAGGGGCCCAAGCCACCTGAGCCTGCAAGGTGATTAAGTGGAGCTTGCGTTTTTTAAAAAAATCTTCCACTACTCTATATTTATCTATTCTAAATGATTTATAATTCAGCACAAACTTGCTCATTGGGAAACTAGCTATGGCTATAGGAGGCAAGAAAGGTAGAGTCTAATAGCAAGAAAGAAGTTTTCCAACATTTTGAAGACTGATCCAGAGACTAGTTGACGAAGACTCACCCGACTTCATCTCTGGAGGGAACATAACAGGCATAATCTTATTCCCTGTGATGCCACGAATGAGGAGGACTGGAGCCCCCAGAGACTTCCTGTCTCTCTCAGCCCAGAACCCCTTTCTCTGAAAGGATTGGTGAAATAGTTTTATTCTACACAAATGGATATCTCTCTGGGGGAAATGACATGAGACATGCTTCAGCTAATGTCCAGTGCCCCTGCCACCCACAGATGCTACCAGAAGGTAATGGGTGTGTGCAGTGGACTCAGTGGGGGAAAGCCTCTTTAGGAAGGGCTGTGTCTACAACTCAAGTGAGAGTGTGTCCTACCAGAGGTATACAGAGGCCACTGCTAGACAGAACGGTATGGGGCACCCAGGTAAACACGAAGGAAAGGAGAAAAGCAAACGTGAGTTTACTCAACGCGGAACATACTCTCTCAGAAGCACAGGCACAAAGTTATACCACTACTTTCCTAGAAATGCTTTCTAGCATGCTGGTATTCATTTTATAAATGACACATGCTTTTTCTCATTTTTCTCTCAGTACATCACTTATACGCAGCATTTCTTATCTCTGTGAGAGTAAAAAGATGCCCTTTGATGGAGAGAAATCTGCATTTGAACCATTGATTATGCAATAGTGAATAATCACTCTCCTAATCCCAAAAATAACGTGGTCTAATGAGAGTATGAGATGGGAGAGTGGGTTTCTTATGAAGCCCTTTCCTCTCCTTTCTTCCTTACTGGTGCAGCTATCTTTCTATTACAAAAGTTTTAAGCAACAGAGACTCACTTTGCAAGCTAACCAGTAACTGTTAGGGCATGGGCATGTGACCCAATCATGGCCAATGAGACACACAGGAAAGTGTCTGCCAGGGCATTTTTGGGATAAACTCTTCTTCTGGATAAATCTTCACTCCACTGTTGCTGCATTGGACATTGTCATTGGGAATCCAGTACCAAAGCTCTCAGGCACGAGGTATAAGCTAAGAAAATCCTTACAAAATTGGCCCAGAAGCTCGACATTGTTGAGCCGTTAAAACAACACTGGACTTCTTGATGTTGAAAAAAACAAACTTCTATTATCTTGGACACTGCAGGTCAAATATTCTGTTACTTGTGGCGAGAAAATCCTAATTCCATAAGCAAAAATAAAGAAGAAATGGAGCACAAATGCTTTCCTAACACAAGATTTCTGGGAACCACAGACTTTCAGAAAATATACACTTAGCAATATAGGTCTATACATGGAAGTACAGAAGCCATATAACACACCTCACACCATTTTCCCCAAGAAAATGTTTGGAGCAATTGTAATATGTAGAATTGATCCTAAAAATGCAATTTATAAGGAAATATTAAAATGAAGTCTAGCTCTTTTCAATGGCTGCAGTGAAGGGGCACAATCTTGGCTCACTGTAGACTCAACCTCCTTGGCTCAAGTGATTCTGCCAGCTCAGCCTCCTGAGTAGCTGGAACTACAGGCATGGACCACCACACTTGACTAATTTTTACATTTTTAGTAGAGATGGGGTTTCACCATGTTGCCCAGGCTGGTCTCAAACTCCTAGGCTCGAGCAATCCACCAGCCTCGGCCTCGAAAAGTGCTGAAATTATAGGTGTGAGCCTCTATGCCTGGCCAAATCATTTTAATATACTGTACTACTTAATGAAATCTAAATGTTCAGAAGTCCAGCCTAAACATTTATAAAAATGTTGCAACTGCACTCTCACGCTAATAACGTAAATCATATTCACTGCAGATTTGATTAACGCCCGGAAGATGAGGGCTGTAATCCCGCAGGTTTCCATCTACTTTCCTGTCTTTCCTTAGAGGCCTCTCATCTGTCACAGTAGCCGGTCTTGGCATTTCACAGAAAGTCATTCAATCTCTCTCTAAAATACTTTCAAAATAGTCATTAAGAAACAAAAATTTTCACAAAGTTATCCAACTCATCTTTTAATGTTTTCCTTGAAGAAGACAAAAATGCCACCATCGGTCATGGTGGCTTACACTTATAATCCCAGCGTTTTGAGAGGCCAAGGCTGAAGGATCACTTGAGGCCAGGAGTTCAAGACCAGGCTGAGCAATGTAGAGGGACCATCTTTCTAGTATAATATTATTAAATTTTTTAAATGCCACTATTTCACATATTTAGACACCTTTGTCGCTATTGCTCAATAGAAAGGCCTGTCTTGGTTTAGCAGAATTCCACAGGATGCCCTTTTATTTGGTAAAGTGGGAAGTACTGGGATCTGGTAGCTCATTCATCTAACTGCTAAAATAATACCACTCACGCCACACTTGGATTATTACCTTTTCAAAGAATTTGAAAGCCAAAAAAATTCCATTTAACACTAAAGTTGAAAGTAATTGAAACTGTTTCACATTAAGAAAGCCCGTCAAGGCGGGACGCAATGGCTCACGCCTGAAATCCCAGCACTTTGGGAGACCTAGATGGGTGGATCACCTGAGGTCAGGGGTTTGAGATCTGCCTGGCCAACATGATGAAACCCTGTCTATGTTAAAAACACAAAAATTAGCTGGTTGTGGTGACACACACCTTCGGTCTCAGCTACTCTGAAGGCTGAGGCAGGAGAACTGTTTGAACCTGGGAGTGGAGGTTGCAGTGAGCTGAGACCGTGCCACTGCACTCCAGCCTGGGGGCGGAGGGGAGAAGAGAGAAAAGAGAAAGAGAGAGGAAGGAGGGAAGGAGGGAAGGAAGGGAGGAAGGTAGGGAGGGAGGGAGGGAGGGAAGGAAGGTGACAATCCTGTTGTGCTGTAGGTGTTCATGTTCCAGCTTTTTGCCAAAAAACAAAGCCATCCTTTCCGTATTACAAACTATTCCCTGATCATGTCACAATCTTTGTTGTATGCATTAAAGCTTTTCAGGTGATGATAGAAAAGGGTGTGCTTTGTTTTATTAAAATGACCTTCAAAAGAGTAGAAAGTTATGCTGCTGTACTTCCAAAAACTGTAGCTGGGAAGAACAATATAGCAGAAAATTATTTTCAAGGACTCAGAAAACAAAGGTATGGTACGTACTACACGTTGTCTGTTAAAATAGCCAACCATGGTGAAATCCTTTTGTGGGGAAAAGTAGGAATTTTTACAAATGCAAACGTAATGCTACTTCTCTGGGTATAACCACAGTAACAATGGCACAGAAAAATACGTCAGAACCAGAGGAAAAATGGGGTTATATGCTCCAAAAATCAAAGCCTCCTATGGATTCTTACTCTGAGAGTGCCTAGAAATAAGAAGCTGAGTTTCATCGATAGCAGCACGAAATGCAGAGTGGGAAAAGCAGGAAGAAAGTTCTAGTAGTGGCCCAAGCTCAGTGGCCCACACTGGTAACCCTAGAACTTTGGGAGGCCAAGGTGGGTGGATTTTGGGAGTTCAGGAGTTTGAGACAAACCTGGGCAACATGATGAAATCTTGCCTTACCAGAAAAAAAAAAAGAAAAAAAAGAGAGAAGAAAAAAGAAAAGAGAGAAAAGAAAAAAAAAAAAAAAAGAAACTTCTAGTAGTGACAGAAGTCAGTTGCGTTGACCATGGGATATGATGTCAGAATTTCAGGAGTAACAGAAACAGCAGGAAAGCAGGCAGACAGATGGCAGAGATGTTTGCTGTAACCCTCAAGCCCTAAGAAAGAGTCTTGAATATGTTAACATCACTTTTGAACACTTTAGCGACCACAGCTCTCAGTCTGTGAGGAAAAGTCCTGCTGGCCATTGAGACTGGTGTGACAGACTGTCCTGCTCTGGGAAATGTGGAAGGGCTAAAATGGAAAAGCCTAGGTAGGGATGGTTTGGCTTCCCTGGGCCACATTGGAAGAATTGTCTTGGGCCACACATGAAATACACTAACACTAATGATAGCTGATGAGCTTAAAAAATGCAAAACATCTCATAATGTTTTAAGAAAGTTTACACATTTGTATTGGGCTGCACTTAAAGCTGTCCTGGGTCACATGCGGTCTGCCCGCCGAGGGTTGCCCAAGCTTGGTGTGGGGTTTCTTGATGACATGAAAACCGTGATAGAGTATTCAAGCCCAAAGCATTGTTTTTTCACAATAGTTTTGGAGAGTAACCAATTTGCATTTTCTGCGTGGTTGTTCAGGTATCACAAGAAAAGAACCCCTGAGAAAGCACCAGCTTCTGAAACAACAGCATAAGTCACGCCTTCAACCTCCAGTCCTCCGCAATGAACAAGGAGAAAACAATCGTGCTTCCTGTGGCCACCATGACACCTTTATCACAGCCCATGGGCCACGGAGTGACTCGGGCCCTGTCTGGCTCTTTCTTAAAATGTGCATTTTCACAGCACATGGGGGCAGTTGCCAGTGACACTTGCTACTTCCCAAGGGAGCACTGATGCATTTCTAATACCAGGATGAAAACCAATACGAGACCATGGAGAGAAGCGACTTCTCAAATGCTAGTGCCTTGCAGATGTTGTGGCTGAATCTGTTTTTTTAAGAGACAGAGTCCTGCTCTGTCACCCAGGCTGGAGTGCAGTGGCGCAACTTTGTCTCCTGCAGTCTTAACCTCCTGGGCTCAAGCACTAATTCTCCCACCTCAGCCTCCTGAGTAGCTGGGACCACAGGCAAGTGTCACCACACCTGGCTAATTTTTAAAACAATTATTTGTAGAGATGGAGTCTTGTTAACATAGCAAGGCTGTTCTTGAACTCCCAGCCTCAAGCAATCCACCCACCTTGGTCTCCCAAATTGTCAGGATTACAGTCATGAGTCATGGCACCCAGCCATAGACTAAATCACTGTCCTAGTTGTGACCTCAGGACGCCTCAGATTTGCCATGTCAGAGTTTGCATGGTCATCTGGTTTAATGATGATTAAACTGCTGTTGAAGATGCTTCATAGCAGTTCTTAAATTACCATGACGAGACACTAGCAATCGAGGCCCTCAAAGAGTTGCCCCAAATAAGTATAAGACAACAGAGCCTCTCACCAAAAAGACTCCCCCAGACTCATTTAAATACAGAAGGTGGTTGGGTGCAGTGGCTCATGCCTGCAATCCTAGCATTTTGGGAGGTGAAAGTGGGAAAATTGAGCCCAAGAGTTCAAGACCAGCCTGGGCAAAGTAGTGAGACTCTGTCTCTACAGAATGTTCTAAAATTGCCCAGGGAAGGTGGTGCATGCTTGTCGTCCCAGCTACTCAGGAGGCAGAGGTGGGAGGATCCTCTAAGCCTGGGAGATGGAACTCAGGAGGCTGAGGTGGGAGGATCCTTTAAGCCTGGGAGATGGAGGCTGCAGTGAGCTGTGGTTGTGCCCCTGTGCTCCCACCTGGGTGACAGAACAGAAGTGCCAGCCTAATGTCAGTTCTTAAAGGACAGGGCTAACTCAGGTATTTCTACATCACCATGAAGAGCTCATGGGGGTGGTGGGAGGAAGTAGATACTGAAGTCATCTTTTTCAGAAGTTATTACCTGTTTGTTCCAGAAAAGATTAAAATGAGGCATCCCTCTCCTGGTGTCTTCTCCCCCAAATTCCTCCACAGCTTTTTTTAAAGATTCCAGAGCAAAAACAATAGCAGAGTTGTCATAGTCACAAATAACTGATGGCCACAAATTCATGATTATCAACATAAGATCATTTATATTTTAAAGCGAGGTGTACCAAATTAGTAAAACATGCATACACAGGTCAACAGAGGTTGCCGTAGAGATGGTCAGCTATATTGCACCCAGTTTTATTGGTTGTCATTCCTTGGAAGTACATTCACGGTAATTCTCATCTTCCCAGAATGCTAAAACACGCATGCACACACACAGGCTAGACAACAGTTGAGTGTCACGTTCCTATAACATTTAGGTGATGCTCTTATTTCATTTGTGCTCTTGCAACCATGAAAACTCAGAGCTGCAGGAACTCTCTGTTCAGAGTATTATTCAACTCATTACTTTTATAGCTGTAGAGAATGAGGTCAAGGCCAGAATGGAGGCTAGGAGGAGGGTTCTGACCAGAACCCAAGTGAGCCCCTTTTCCTGAGGGTAAGATGTTATGAAAAAGACACCGGGCCACAGGGTGCAGTGGCTCATGCCTGTATTTCCCAGCACTTTGGAAGTCCGAGGCAGGGGGATCATCTGAGGTCAGGAGTTCAAGACCAGCCCGGCCAATATGGTGAAACCCTGTCTCTACTAAAAATAGAAAAATTAGCCGGGTGTGGTGGCGCATGCCTGTAATCCCAGCTACTCAGGAGGCTGAGGCAGGAGAATTGCTTGAACCCAGGAGGCAGAGGTCCAGTGAGCCAAGATCGCACCATTGCACTCCAGCCTGAGAAGCAAGAGCGAAACTCCGTCTCAAAAAAAAAAAAAAAAAAGAAAGAAAAAAGAAAAAGAAAAGAAAAAGACACCTGGGAAATGCAATCGTCAGACCAAGGAAGGATTCTGTGACATTTGAGAATGATGTCTATCACACATAAAGCACCATTTTTAGGACATTACAGAGCTCTGGGATGTGAATTGTTCTTTTATCTCTAATGTGTTCATCTAAATGCTTTGAGTGCAAGTATTACTTTTTGGAGCTATACTTGCAGTGAAATTATTAAGTGACAGCTGTAGTTTTTCAAATTGTGCTTCCAAAATAACTCCTAATTTCTTGAGAATACTCATAAAATTCTAACTTAAAGAAAAACAACCAGACATACTTTGCACAAATCCTACAAGAAGAGACTGTTGGAGGAAACGTGGGGGCAGAGAGCAGAAGGAACGTTAGAAGAGTGAAAAATGAGAAACATCACAGCATTCCAATGAGAAATAAAAGATGTCTCTTCTTTCCTCAAAAAGCTCTCTGGAGCATGGTGCAGTGGCTCATACCTGTAATCCCAGCACTTTGGGAGGCTGAGGCAGGAGGATCACTTGAGACCAGGAGTTTGAGAACAGCCTGGGCAACATAGCAAGACCTCCATCTCTACAAAAAATGCAAACATTAACTGGGCCTGGTGGCTCATCCCTGTAATCCCAGCACTTTAGGAGGCTGAGGTAGGAGGATTTCATGAGCCCAGGAGTTCGAGACCAGCCTGGGCAACAGAGGGAGGTCTCGTCTCTACAAAAATAAAAAATTAGCCAGGTTTGGTGGCATATGCCTGTAGTCCTAGGTACTCGGGAGACTGAGGTGGGAAAACCGCTTGAGCCCAGCAGGTCAAGGCTGCAGTGAGCTATGATCATGCCTGGGTAACAGAGCGAGAGATCCTGTCTCAAAAGAAAAAAAGAAAAAAGCTCTCTGGAGAACACAACCATTCCCCCCAGTCCCTGTCCATGGAAAAATTATCTTTCGTAAAACTGGTCCCTGGTGCCAAAAAGTTTGGGGACTGCTGACCTAGAATAACTAACTGATTCCTAGAGTTTACCCTACCCATATAACTCGCTGCCTTGAATGATAGCAATACATTTCCTTTCTTCACTTTTCATTTATTTTTATTTTTTGAGACAGAGTCTTAGTCACCCAGAATGGAGTGTGGTGGCACCATCTTAGCTTATGGCGCCTAGAACCTACTGGGCTCAAGCAATCCTCCTGGCTCAGCCTCCCAAGTAGCTGGGACCACAGATGCATGCCATCATGCCTAGCGAAATTTTTTTTTTGGTAGAGATGAACTCTCACTATGTTGCCCAGGCTGATCTCCTGGGCTCAAGCAATCCACCTGCCCCACCCAAAGTCCTGGGATTCCAGACATGAGCCACCAGGCCTGGTTCACATTTCCTTTTCTCTTTTTTAAAGCTTATGAATACGAATATAATCATATTCATTAGAACTGAAAAGTGAAATGTAGTTTTCTTTTCTGTAAACAGATAAAATTGCTTTTAGGCATATGTTAGAAGAAAGGGTGTGGCTCTGGAGAGAAGATCTAGCTAAAGGTACCCCTACTTCCTACAAGAACCTGGGCAATATGTCCAGCCTCCTGAGCAGCTGCTCTATCATCTGTGACATAAGAGTGATCAATACCACTTCCCAGAACGTTATCACAGAGGACAAATGAGAATCTACCTGAAAGCTCTTTGTAATTTGGGAAGTCCCATATACATTATTGCTTTTATGAGATCAGAGCAGTGCACAGTTTTTAATAATTATTAAAGTATTTTGGTGACTTATGCTTGTAATCTCAGCCCTTTGGGAGACCAAGGTTGGAGGATGGCTTAAGCCCAAAGAGTTCCAGACCGGCCTGGGCAACATGGTTAGACCCTGTCTCTACAAAAAATACAAAAATTAGCCAGGCATGGTGGTGGATGCCTGTAGTCCCAGCTACTCAGGTCACCTGATCCTGGGAGATTGAAGCTGCAGTGAACCATGCTCATGCCACTGCACTCCAATCTGGACCACAGAGTGAGACCCTGTTACCAAAAAAGAAGAGTCAAAGTCAAGGGGAGGGGAGGGGAGGGGAAGGGAGGGGAAGGGAGGGGAAGGGAGGGGAAGGGAGGGGAAGGGAGGGAAAGGAAGGGAAAGGAAGGGAAAGGAAGGGAAAGGACGGGGAAAAATGAGGTTAAAGCTGGAGAGAGGGGCAGGAAAGGCAGTAGTGTTACCAAAATAACACAAAATTTACTGGCTTCAGAACAACTTCCTTTTGGAAAAAGAACAATCCTCTCTACCTCTGCCCCATTACCAGCTGGGCACAGAGAAGCCTACTGCCTGGGAAAGAGAGAAGCAGAAAATAACCTCAGCCAGATTAGTGCTACAGAAAACCAAGACCAAAATGTTGTCAGGTTCTAGGGTAAAAAGAAGCAAGATTTCAGAGCTGTTGAGAAGTTAGGATGTAGATTTTCTATGGCAAAGGGAGAAAAACTGGATGGTCCCTTGAAACCCTGGTTTCAAACATTGTTCATTTTTAACAATACCAAAAAGCTATATTTACACTTAAGTTTTCTTCTATGGTGTTGTTACATATTGTTTTTACCATTTTATAGAGTAACTAACACAGGCAGTGATCAGATCAGTGGAGTGGCTGGTGAATGCATGTGGACCATGACCAGCCATGCATTGCATCCTATGGAAACTTTAATTGAAGATCCAGAAATAGTGAGGGGTTACACGCCATTTCTGTAAAGGTCACCCACGTGCTACTCATTTTCCTTGCTTTTCTATTCCCCCTTCTTGTTTTCATCTGCTTTCCTCTCTTTATAATTTCTGTATCTCTCTCCCCTATCACCTTATTACACTGAAAGAATGAGCAATTTTTAAAAGGTGCAACAACAAAAAGTTTTAAAACATATAAATACGCATGCTGGCATTCATTTTTGTCCAGTTAAGGAAACTTTTTTTTTTTTTTTTTGAGATGGAGTCTCGCTCTGTCGCCCAGGCTGGAGTGCAGTGGCCCGATCTCGGCTCACTGCAAGCTCCGCCTTCCGGGTTCATGCCATTCTCCCGCCTCAGTCTCCCAAGTAGCTGGGACTACAGGCGCCCGCCACCATGCTCAGCTAAGTTTTTGTAGTTTTACTAGAGACGGGGTTTCACCGTGTTCGCCAGGATTATCTCGATCTCCTGCCCTATGATCCACCCGCCTCAGCTTCCCAAAGTGCTGGGATTACAGGCGTGAGCCACTGCGCCCGGCCCAGTTAAGGAAACTTTTTAAATGATGAGGTTTATGTTGGCACACACGCAAACAAACAACAACAACAACAAAAAATCATAAGGATTTCACATGATGGATTATCTTTTTTTTTGGATTTAAAGAATTATACAAATCCAACAGCGTTAAAAGTAATAAATGTATGTATGTGGATTTTTTACAATCCGTGTTCCTGTCGCTTAGTACCTGGGATTAGAAACTTATCAAGGCAGCTTAGCCCTGGGTCGCCGTTTGCCTCCGCACGCGTTTGCAGCCCCCTCCGCGACGACGCCTCTGTTGCGCTGCGCCGCAAGCATGCTGCGCTCAGCCGCGGCGGGCCTCTGCGCTGCGGCGCCCAACTCGCCTTTCCCGCAGTTCCTGCAGCGGCGCGTAGGCCACGGGCCTGGCTCTTCTGGCTGCTCAGAGTGTGCGCAGGGTGTGCAGGGCGGTCCCATCTCCTGCGGTCTGGAGGCTGTGGCTGTAGCGTGGCTGCAGCATGTCTGCGCACAAAAGGAGAAAAAGCTTTTGTTGATTTCCTAAGTGATGAAATTAAGAAGGAAAGGAAAATCCAGAAGCATAAGACCCTCCCTAAGATGTTTGGAGGTTGGGAGCTGGAATTGAATGGGACAGAAGCTAAATTAGTGTGGAAAGTTGCCGGGGAAAAGATTACTGACACTTTCAACATTAACACAGCATTCCTCCAACATTTGACGGTGAAAAGGAACTCTCGCAAGGGCAGAAGGTTGAAGAACAGGAGCCTCAATTGACATCTACTCCCAATTTTGTGGTTGAAGTTATAGAGAATGATGGTAAGAAGGCCCTTGTGCTGAACTGTCACTATCCAGAGGATGAGGTTGGACAAGAAGAGAAGGCTGAGAGTGACATTTTCTCTATCAGAGAAGTTAGCTTTCAGTCCACTGGCGAGTCTGAATGGAAGGACGTTAATAATACCCTCAACACAGATTCCCTGGACTGAGCCTTATACGACCATCTAGTGGATTTCCTTGTGGACCAGGGGGTGGACAACACTTTTCAGATGAGTTAGTGGAGCTCAGCACAGCCCTGGAGCAACAGGAGTACATTACTTTTCTTGAAGACCTCAAAAGTTTTGTCAAGAACCAGGAAAGTAGACAAACACTGAAAGCTATAGTATTATGGCAGGTGTTAGCCAGTGAACCAATCCTACTCTGAAGCCAGATACATGTACTTTGAAATGATTATCCTAACATCATGGGGAAAAAATAGCAAATTTAAATAATTTCTTTTGCACTGTCATTTGTTATTTGTTTTTCTGTAAAAATCCATTATTTCTAGATTTTTGTATAACATAATAGAAAATAAAATTGGTTTATCTCCTCCCCCAAAAAAGTTAAGGCAAAAGTTTGAATAATTACTGAGCCAACTAAGCTTCTATCTCAAGAAATGAGAAAAAGAAGAGTAAAGTACATGTGTATAAGTTGGGGGAAAGCACTTCTGCTTGCGGCCAAGGTGCAGCAACAAGGACAAGACTTACCTCCTGCTTGAAACAATAGAGCCAGACAAAATACATGCAATGACAGTTTTCAAAACAGTGAACATCAGAAAATGAAGGGCAGTGGATACAAATGAGGTGAGCCTGTTAGCAGTGGCAACTCCGTCCAGGTCTGCAGCAACCTCAATTCTTGCCTCCTCAGAATAAAGAATTTGACGGACAGGCATAAGGCAGAGAAAGAAACTGAGACAAGTTTGAGATTAGGAGTGAAAGGAAATAAAGTACACTTGGAAGAAAGCCAGCTGGGCAACTTGAGAGATCAAATGCACCATTCACCCTTTCACTTGGGCTTTTATACATTGGCATGCTTCTGGGGGATTGCATCTCTTCTCCCCTGATTCTGCCATTTTCTGTTACTCTGCGTGCATACTCTGCCCATTTGCCCAACTCCTGAGATCTTATCGGGAAGCTGCTGATCACTGCCTTCACGTGTTTCTATCTATCAAGAGACTGCCTTTCCCGTGGGCCCACTGAGACCCATTAATTGTTACTTTATTTTTATTTTATTGTATTTGTTTTTGTTTTGAGACAGAGTCTTGCTCTGTCACTCAGGCTGGAGGGCAGTGGCACGATTTCGGCTCACCTGCAACCTCCGTCTCCCAGGTTGAAGAGATTCTCCTGCCTCAGCCTCCTGAGTAGCTGAGATTATAGGTGTGTCTAACCAGACCCAGCTAATTTTTGTATATTTACAAAATATTGGGTTGTAATATTTTGGGATGGGATTTCGCCATGTTGGCCAGGCTGGTCTCGAACTCCTGACCTGAGGTGATCTGCCTGTCTCGGCCTCCCAGAGTGCTGGGATTACAGGAGTGAGCCACCACACCTGGCCCAATTGTTACGATGTAACAATGGCCTGACCATCACTTGATGGTCACCTGACATTCCTGGGGGTGGGGAGCCTCTCTCATGTCTGCCTGACTACCTATTGCTCATGTCTGCCTGACTACCTACTATAAGAAGTCCTAGGAATTTCCAGGTTCCATGCCTTAACCTATTTTCCAGCCCACGGCTCAGGGAGGGGAACCCAGGCAGAGTCTGGCAGACTCCCCAAGTTGAGGAGACAGAGCTGAGAGTCCACAGAGACCAGCACAGCTAGAGTTCATAAGACAGAGAATCAGAGATGAGAGAGCTGCTGACAGAGAACCCTAGAGACTGGCAGAGGGTCCTCCCAGCGTCTTCAGCAGAGTATCAATCACTGCATGTGTATGAAGACACTACTTGAGGCTGGGGCAAGAGCCATCTGAAAGGATTGTAGGAAACGGTGCTGAGCACTCACTCACACAGGGTGGGTAACAGTGGCTGATCTCACCAGCTAAATTAGAAATGCTCATAATTCACAGGTCATTGGATACAGAACTCAACAAATCATGAAAACAAGACCTGAAAGGATCAAACTGTTTCTAAGAAAATAAAATGTGTCATACAACCAAAGCAATCTACAGGTTCAGTGTAATCCCTATCAAACTATCAGTGATGGCTGGGTGCAGTGGCTCAGGCCTGTAATCCCAGCACTTTGGGAGGCCATGGAGGAATGATCTCTTGATCCAAGAGTTCAAGACCAGCCGGGGCAATATAGTAAGACGTTATGTCTATGAAAAAATCAAAAAAATAGTTAGGTGTGGTGGTGCACAACTGTGGTCCCAGCTACTTGAGAGGCACTTACAGGGAGATCACTTGAGCCAGGGAGATTGAGGCTGCAGTGAGCCGTGATCATGACACTGCACTCCAAACTGGGCAACAGAGTTAGACTGTGTCTCAAAAAACAAAAAATACCAAGGAGGCCAGGTGGCTGATGCCTGTAATCCCAGCATTTTGGGAGGTTGAGGTGGGTGGATCACTTGAGGCCAGGAGTTTGAGACCAGCCTGGCCATCGTGGTTAAACCCCATCTCTACTAAAAAGTTATCTGGGTGTTGTGGTGCACATCTGCAGTCCCAGCTTGTCAGAGGCTGAGGCACAAGAATCACTTCGACCCAGGAGGCAGAGATTGCAGTGAGGCGAGATTGTGCAACCACACTCCAGCCTGTGCAACAGAGTGAGACTCTGTCTTTAAAAAGAAAAAAATATGGCCGAGGGTGGTGGCTTTTGCCTGTAATCCCAGCACTTTGGGCGACCGAGGCGGGTTGATCATGAGGTCAGGAGATGGAGATCATCCTGGTTAACACGGTGAAACCCTGTCTCTACTAAAAATACAAAAATAAATTAGCTGGGCGTGGTGGCACGTGCCTGTAATCCCAGCTACTTGAGAGGCTGAGGCAGGAGAATTGCTGGGACCCATGAGACGCAGGTTGCAGTGAGCTGAGATGGCACCACTGAACTCTACCCTGGGCGACAGAGCGAGACTCTGTCCTCAAAACAAAAAAACAAAAAAAAAAAATTACATTATTTACAGAAATAGAAAAAACAATCCCAAAATTTATATGGAATCACAAAAGATCCAGAATATCCAGTCTGTCCCTGGATCTAAGGAACAAGGTAATAAAAAAAGAGACTCCTAAAATCCAAGAAATATTGAGCAAAAAGAGGAAAGCTGGAGGTATCACACTAAACCACTTCAAAATTTATCATAAATCTATAGTAACCCCAAAAGCATGGTACTGGCATAAAAACAGACACACAGGCAAATGCAACAGAATAGACGGCCAACAAATGCATCCATGTATTTACAGCCAACTGATTTTCTACAAAGGTGCCAAAAACACACAACAGGGAAAGGACAGTTGCTTCAAAAGAATGGTCTTGGGGAAACTGGATATTCACATAAAGAAGAATGAAATCAGACCTTTATCTCACATCAGACACAAAAGTCAACTAAAAATAGATTAAAGGCTTACATGAATGTCCTGAAACTACGAAACTACTAGAAGAAAACATAGGGAATAAGCTTCATGACACTGTTCTGGACACTGGATTTTTGGATAGGATCTCAAAGGCAGAAGCAATGAAAGCAAAAATAAAATGGGATGACATGAAACTAAAAAGCTTCTGCACAGCAATGGAAATAATTCACAGAATGAAGAGACAACCTACAGATTGGGAGAAAATATTTGCAATCCATGCATCTCTGAGGAGTTAATATTCCAAATATGTAGGGAACTCGACTCAATAGCAAATCCAATTCAAAAATGGGGCCATGGTGGTTCTTGCCTGTAATCCCAGCACTTTGGAAGGTAGAGGCAGGAGAATTGCTTGAACCCAGGAGTTCTAGACCAGTCTGGGCAACATGGTGAAATCCTGTCTCTAAAAAACAATACAAAAAATTAGCTAGGCATAGTGGTTCATGCCTGTAGTCCCAGCTACTTGGGAGGCTGCCGTGGAAGGGCCACTTGAGCCCAGGGGGTCGAGACTTCAGTGAGCCATGATGTAATCATGTCACTGGCATTCTAGCCTGGGTGACAGAGTGAAGCCTTATCTCAAAAGGTAGGGGGCAAAGAACCAAATAGACTTTGCTCAGAAGAAGACATATGAATGGCCAATATGTCTATGAGAAAAATGCTCAACATCACTAATCATCAGCGAAATACAAATCAAAACCACAATGAGATATCACCTCGCACCTGATGGAACGGCTATTATTGGAAAGGCAAAAGATAACAAGTGTTGGTGAAGATGTGTTGAAAAGGGAACCCTTGCAGGCTGTTGGTGGGAATGTAAACTAGAGTAGCCATTATGGAGGCTACATATGGAAGAACGTATATGGAGGTTCCTAAAAAAGTTAACAATAAAACCACCATATGATCCAGCAATCCCACTACTGGGTATGTATCTAAATGATATAAAATCAATATGTTGAAGCAATATCTGCACTCCCACGTTTATTACAGCACTATTCACAATAGCCAAGAAATAGAGAAACAAATGCATCCCAGAACAAAAGCTCCAGGTTACCTATAGGAATACAAAAATATCCACCAACCAATAAAGTAAAATGCACAATGTCTGAGATCCAATCCAAGGTTATCAGAAATGCCTTTGCAGGGAAAAAGGACCCATAATAAGGAGAATAATCAATCAGTCAAAATTGACAAGGATGTTAGAATTAGCAATGGACGATATTAACACTGTCATTATAACTTTATGTGTGATACTGTGGTAGAAGAAGTATATATTTGGTCTTTGTTCCTGGTTCCTGGCACAAAACTCTTGTAATTTCCTGAATGCCAAGGTGAGAGGATCATCCTGTTATTCATAATACGCCTCTTTCAACCATCCCTGAGTTTATGCTAATGAGATGATGCTCAGTGGGCCGCTAGATATCTTCAGATGAGGGCTGTTTGCTAGCCCCACCCTGGGCCTCTGGAAAGGGGAGAGGGTTTGGAGATAGAGGTAATCATCAATTTCCAGCCAATGACTTAATCAATCATGCCTACATAATGAAAATCTATAAAAACCCCTGAATGAAGGGTTTGGAGGGCTTCTGGGCTGGTAAACACATCAGCGTGCTAGGAGGGTGCCCCTTCCGTATCTAGTCCTATACATCTCTTCCATTTAGCTATCCCTGAGTTGTATCCTTTATCATAAACCAGTAATGCTAAATAAAGTGTCTTCCAGAGTTTTGTGAACCATTCTAACAAATTATGAAACCTGAGGAAGGGGTTGTGGGAACCCCTGATTGATAGCCTATCAGTCAGAATTATGGGAGGTCTGGGGTTTTCAATTGGT